TCATCCATTCTTAATTCATCAGTAGTTAGGATTAAAGCAAACTTGAAAAACACAGTTCAATTGACAATTTCGGGATTCACTGTATAACACTGCCCCCATAACGTTTGACTTTTTTTTTACCTGAGATCACACACCTTATCAACAGCTACTCCCTTAATTGTAAATTCTTTCATCATCAAATTGTTATAAAGTAACTAAACACAAGCCTCTCTTGCAAAACCGGGAGATTAGCATTCAGTTAGTTGGCCACTTACCTTTGCTCCTCACCTCACCACCCATCTTCCTTAATCAATTTAAATAATTCCTATTTCTTACCACCTATTCCCTCTGACTTCCAGATAAGATGAATTTGTGATCACTACCTTTCTTTCATCTCACATTTACTATCTAGCCTGTATTCTTTTTCCATGAATAATCCTTCCTTTTTTCTTCTGTACATTAGTATTGCGTTTTACTGTCCTACCTCCCCAGTTCTTAGTGCATTTGTTGTGTCACTTTTAAAAGATTATTGCTCATTTGGTACCGTTAAGTTAATCTTCCGCGTTGGCTTTTTCTTTCAACAAAGAATGAAGAAAATATTAAATTCCTGCACACAACCACATAAAGTTACCCACAGACAAATCTTCTCATGTACCCTGTTTGTCTCTTGATATTTTGGAAATGTCAGACTACAAAATTGATTTATCTCTGCTATCAACAGGCATTTAGAATTTAAGAAAGAGTTTATTTTACTGAGCAATTTGGAATAAGGACACTGTACTACAAATAGTTTTTTCTTTGTCTTAGAAGAATGGTTTCACAGCCATGAGGACTAAAGTGATAATTTATCAAATTTGAAAAGAACATGGTGTGATGGCTCTTTGCATAAAAAAACTGAAAAGAAATATTAGAAATGATATCCTAACTTTTTGTACATTTATTAATTGAGTGTTTAATATGTGTTTGTTCGTTCCTGTACAATTAGGTTATTGGACCATTTTAAATAGAAAAGAAGTTCTGCTCATAGGTCTGTCAAATGGAAAAATGACAGAAGTTCAAAGCATAACAATATGCGACAGTTGGAAAATATGATATCTGCAGAATCCCAGAGTAGCTGCATGCCTCTGTGACATCATACACACGGACTCACACACCCGGACTCACACACCCACACTGGCGTTCAATCTGTCGGTCTTCCGTAACCTCTTCATTATTTCAGAGATGATTAGAACTAGACGTGACGTGAGCATGTTGAGTAGAGTGTATGCACAGACACACACGGACTTATAAATATACAAAAATATGCTAGGCACACCAAGATAGCATGTGTTACCCTGAGGGTGTGACTCCAAACACACACACACAATGGATCGCACACACACACGTACGATGA